GCGCAACCGTCGCTTGACTGTATTCGAAATGTCATCACCCTTAAAGGGTAAGGACATAATGACGGGCTTGGAATCTAGGATTGCCGAAACCAAGGTTTTCTTATCCCCCCCCCATTTGACCTTTGCTAAACTAGCAACTAATGAAGGCACTTTGACGCTGTTTTAGCATTCTGTAAAACCGGGTCGGTATCTCCTGAGGCATGGCACACACTGCTGATATCACCTCCAGACAATTGCGTATTGTTTCGTATCTGGCATCTAATGCGGTGTGTCTATCTGCAGTTCAATGGACCTCCGACTGTTTAGTTCTAGCAAAAACTCTCATAACCGGAAGCTGTGCGGACGCGCGGTTTAAGGCTTTACACGGAGTCGTAGCAAGGGGGAGGCTCGGGACCACTCTATGCGAATTTGTAGGTTCGAAAGGATAACCTAATTGCTTAATATGCCTAGATCAGTATCATTTTTATTAAAGCGCCAGACAACACAATCACGTGTAAAAGTTTGGAAGAACTGTACTGTTAAGATGGGTTTAGAGTTATAATTGGTGTACTTATGTATCGCCTGTGAGATGCAGATAGGTAATGCGAGAATCAACACTGTTAAACACAACGAAACGATCGTTTGAAACAGACTGGAAGACTTTTCAAATTGAGCCGCCATTTTTCCTCCCTCCCTCCATTTGCATGTAAATTTTCTTGCACATCGGTCGGCCTACATCGCCCATTATTAGACCGATTTTTATCCCTCTGTTTATGTGAACTACAATGAGACTACGAGTGCAGGAGGTCACACCACTAGCGCTGTTTTGAAGGCAGTCCAATTTGGCCTATATGTGATAACTTTTCTAACGACACTGATCCATGATGTTGTAATTTGCAGTCATTGGCGATTATGGATTACTTTTGATTTCCCGGTGGTGTGAGTTTTTGCGTCTAATCTTATTCTTTTTGAATGGTGGACATTTTTACTGAACATTTTGGAATGATACTTTCGAAATAGGGCGTGTCACTCTCTCTCCCAGTGGAAAGGCTCTACTGAATAACTTTCAAGCAGGATAGATAAGGGAGGTTGCGTACTGATGAGGAAGTCGGGGTTGGCTGGATAAAAGTGACCCGGATGGAGGAGGTCATCGCGGACAACAGGATCGAGAGGATGAGGCGAAGATTGGACACACGTATAGATATCCTTCACAATACATTTGGTCTTGTGTTAAATTCTGGATTGCTTGCGACCCTAAGCCTGACCATACTTCTAACATTAATTCTTATAACCATAAGCCTAAACTTAACCTCAGCACCAACCATGACCCTTACCTCCCCCAAAAGATGTAGCCGAGGTTTATAACCGTGTCTGAGACCTATAGATGTTTTCCAAATGCAACTAAAAGCAACGCAAAGAAAATTTCACATCAGAAAGAGAGAGGATGCTTTATTTTGAGGGTGATATCCAGATTTTTCAGCAAAAATGGCTCTATTCACGAAGTGCAAGTGATAACGTAAGGTAAAAGGTCATGCTAAAACGTCATAGAATACCCATTGTTAAAGGTTTACGTGATATCCGCATCTGTTATACAGACTGGTCGGCTTTCAACTTCTCAATTTCCGTTTCTTCACACGTGAGGTGGCATGCTAGGAATGGGAGTACGGAGCACTGATACGCCTATGTACGGCAAGGTATATGGAATAAACTTTGCTGCATAGTAAAGGAAGACTTCGCAGCCACTAGTTCAAAGTGGAAAGGGTGAACGACCTCACTAAGGATACGATCAGTAAATTGCTTGACCGTTTTAAAGTTTTGCTTTATGATAATGTCAGCTAAAAAAGCATAGGAAGCCCCGGCAGCTGAAGAGAGCATTCGAAGGATACGTTTTAAATGGACAGGTATTTTTTAAGCAAGGCTGGGAAAATAACTGGAGAACAGTAAAGAATGCGGGGAAGAATATAGGTATCAATAGATTCCCAGATTAGGGCTTGTGGTGTGTGATCTGAACGCAACCGGCGCATATAATATAAAAGTTTACGAATTTTTATAAAGAGGCCTTCAATATGATGAGTAAAGGAGAGATTAGATGACAGAGTAACACCACAATACCGGAAAGAGAATAATTCATTGGGCAGAAAGTCCATGAATTCAGGACTGGAAAAGGGTCGATATCGAAAAACACGCTGAACTGACTTCTGGTCGTTAAGTAGGTCATTTGCTGAGACGTGGTCCAGGCAATCCTTCAGTACTTGAAGATGTATCTGACTTTTGAGAGGATGGCCAACAACCATATGATCAGAATATTTAACGTACAAACATTCATTTGGCGATCGTAGGTCGCCAGTGTGGAGAGAGGAGGGGTGAGGAGATAAAATAGACCGTTGGAGAACTCTACATAGTTTTTGGGAAGGACCATGGTTTTTCGCCTTCCGCACATAACGAATTGAGTGCGAGAAGTGAAATTGTTCCCAAGCCAAGAGACAGCCCAGTCCTGAGAACCGCATACATAAGTTTTATTAAGAAGAAGATGGCGCGGGATCGTATTAAAGGCTTAGGAGTAGTCGAGAAAAGCACAACCGTATGCACTAAGCTCAGCTAAGCAGCTGTTTATTAATTAATAAAGGTTGAGACGAAGGTCCGCATAACGGGTGTATGCAAAAGTATAGAAGAAGATGGTTCGGTCCCCGGAATTATGGTCTTATTCGCCTGAACTTTCGCACTCTTACCGGAGTCCAACTTCAGAGGTAAAAGCGGCAACAGAGCAAGCAACTGTTATGACGGGCAGGGACCAATAAGACACCCGTGAGGTCAGTCAGTGCGCACGGCGCCAGATCGATGAATCGATTGCCTAAGTTCTCAGCCCAGCGGCTCAGACTTCAATACATTTTCGGTTTGTCTTGCTTCTGGCGTGGGCCATTAGCCTCGCAGCTGGAGCGAAGTTAAAATCAGGATCGGTTTCGTAAATGTGGGAAGCTAATGTGGATAGTCCATCATCCGGTCTTACAACCAGCGTATGCTCGTTTGTATGCGATCCGGGCATGCGTCCAGTCTGTCCTGTGTAGTTTCGAAAACGGTTTAGGCACGTGGTGCCCTTCACAAGCTTTCGTCCATAATGCCAGATTCCTTTCAAAGTTTGTACAAAAACCTTTAAAATAAGATATCTATTAAAATCGTCTACGGGAAAAAAAGGACGAGTTTTGTGTATTAGTTTTTATGAAGATGGCTATGCGGGCCATAATTAGAAATGCCTTCAAATAGAATAAAACGCACTGTCGAGCAGAAAGAACGTCTGCAACAAAAGTCTGATGTGGGCATTCCTAAGACTGATAAAAAAAATTCTATAATAGATTATCTCTTTAAAAAACAGTTGAAGTAGATATTCAGCTGATTGATTTCTGTTACCTTTTTCCAAGGTAATATCAAAATAAAAATAGAGATTTTTGACAGGTTTATTAAGTTACCTGAAGATAAATGATTCAATTTGACTTGAGTAATTTCCACCATAGTGGATTGCTTCTAGGTTTTGTTCTAAGCCTGTGATTGCAAAAAAATGTGGCCATATATATAATAGGATTTTGATATAATTATTATTCTTCTGTCTGTTCCACTCCTAAATAACACATAAGCGAAAATTATAGTTTACAAAAAAAGTCTGTTTCTACATGCTTTATATTTGATAACATTTACTTTTACCTTCAGCTTCACGATAAGATATGGGCAGTTTGGGTTACATCCCACATAATCGATGCAGTAAAAGAGACTGCGGTTAGCAACTTTTTGCTACTGCATATTGTGGCAACAATCTTCAGAGGTCAGCAAAACTTAATTTCTAAAATTTAAAAGTTTCCTTGTTTCTGTAAATAATTGCGATTCCTTAACTTTGGTTTCACTTGCATTTGAGCTACTTTGGTCTACATTTCCCGGTTCGGGAAGGGATATGTATCAAACGCTTCTTCCTTATTTTGGGGTTCTCCGATAGCATAATGCATATTCAAAAAGTTTGGTATTGTCGTACTTACTAGCATATGACATTTCTTCGATATTAGGCTACTCGCGATTGAGCCAAAATTAATGCCCATTACCCACAATAAACTTAACTAAAAGGGCAATTCTCCTAACTAA